ACTTCTTCTAGATTAATCTTGCATGTTGTCGCCGTCCAATCAAGACCAAATTCCAAAACATGGGTGTCCTGAACCCCTTAATATGACTGAATGTGTGAGAAAATGAGTGTTTTCCCATAAGCTGAGACACATCTAACACTTCCCAAGCTGTACAACTAACAACAAAGCTGCTAAACCATGTGAAAAAATACACTACCACAAAGCTGCTAAAATGGGTGTAAAATGTAGGTGCATGGTTCTCATGGGACAAAGATGACATACATACATACATAAGTACATGCATACATACATGGATACATACATCAGCCAAAACATTAAAACCACTGACAGGTGAAATGATTAACATTTATTATCTTGTTAGAATGCATTGTTCTGTTGGGAAACCTTGGGTGCTGGCATATATGTAGATGCTACTCACCCAAACACAGACCAAGCAAACCCACTCCCAGATGGCAGTGACCCCCCCCAGCAGGACAATGCACCATGCCACACCACAAAAACTGCTCAAGAATGGCCCAGGGAACGTGACAAAGAGCTCAAGGTGTTGACCTGGCCTCCAAATTTCCCAATTCCCAATCCAACTGAGCATCTTTGGGACGTGCCAATACCCCAGATGTACTGCCCATCCACGGTGGGGCCTCCATGGATTGGACATACCTCTGACATGTCAAGGTATGGACACAGGAAGTCTGGGGATTCCCCCATGGTGTCTGGTAACAGGGTCTTCAGGGCAGATCCTTTGAATCCTGTGGGTTGCGAGATGACATACCAGCATGTCCCAAGGATGCTTGATCAGATTTGGATCTGGGGACTTTGGAAGCCAGGTCAAGGCCTTAAGCTCTTTGTCATGTTGTCATTCCATTCCTGAGCAGTTTTTGCAGTGTGGCATGGCACATTGTCCTGCTGGGGGACTACTGCCACTGGGGAGTGATGTTGTCATGGGGGCGTTTGCTTGGTCTGCAGTGGTGTTTGGGTGGGTGGTGCATGTCAAGTAGCATCCACATGAATGCTAGGACCCCAAGTTTCCATGCAGAACATTGCATTGTAACAAGATGATCCATATTATTTACTTCGCCTGTCAGTGGTTTTAATGTTTTGGCTGATTGGTGTATATTGTGAATAGTATTGAATATTGATATATTCATGTACTTCTGAAGCCCAATTTGTAGTTTGTCTACTATACTAATGAAGACTGGCTGCCAGGTGAGCAGGAATGGACCATTTTGTTCTTATTTATTATGATAACCTTTCATGTGGACTTAGATTCAGGAGTTTTTCAAACCAGAGTAAAAAACATCTAGAGATTCATCACCGATCCACCTTTGAAGAATACGCAACCTTGCTGCGTACCAACATATTCATGCTTTCCTCCCTCATCTAGTCCTAAAATACAAATGCCTGGGTTTAATATTGACCTACATCCCAGCATACCATCAATTTTCATTCTAACACTGTACCAAAATTCAACAATATTTGGGCTTACTCAGAAGACATGAAAATATGTAGCTTTGCCTGTATTACATTTTGGGCAGATTATGGTACAATCAGGATCGTACTTGGATCTGATAAACCGTGTAACATGCAGTTCATGAATCATCTTAAATTGTGTTTCATGAAATGTACTGGAGCAACTCATCTTTTTGCATTTAATAATTTTCCCAATCATCCTTTTTTATTGTGGTCCCAAAATCCAATTGCCAGGAACATCTACTGACATCAGTATCAATTTTCTTACATTTAACAAGTTCCCTGTACAGATAATTTAATGTCTTTTTTATGTACTGAAACAGATTTGGATTATTAATAGAAAACATAATTAAGTGTTAAATTATGACATATTATAGATTAAACTGGGTGGTGCTATGGTTAGTATTGTCACCTCACAGCAACAGGGTTCCTGGTTTGAACCCTGGGGTGGGGGAGCCCTTCTGTTTGCATGTTCTCCCAGTGTCAGCATGGATTTCCTCTGTAATTATATTACTGAATTATAGGCCTAACAAATATTATTTTGAAATGGGCCATTCTGCATAATGGTCACTTTGAATTTTAATACTTTAAGTAGTACATTTTGATGCTATTACTTTTGTACTCTTACATTATTAAGTTTAGATGCAGGACTTTTACCTTTAACAGAGTGTTTCTCCTCTGTGGTATCATGACTTTTACTTAGGTAAAAGTTCGGAGTACTTCTTTCACCCCAGCTGCTATATATTGCAATAAATGTGAAATGCATTTGTTTTCTCTTGTACTCTGTATAATGTTTGATTACTGACTTAATGTGGAGAGACATCTGGTGGTAAAAAAAGGCAACCTATATCAGAACATTGTCAGAAAAGGAAAATGCTTTACAGGGTTGAACTTGATCTGAACTTGATCAGCGACTACTGTCCGAGCCTCTTTGATAATCAGCACAGAGTGACTGCGGGGGCGAGTCAAAACCTGATCAACAAATGACACAAACTCACACATATTTCATGAATCGTTATGCACTTTTATTCATTCCTCTGTCTCGACTCACAGGCTGCTTACAAATAAAATTCTCATATAAGCACTTTTTTCTTCCTCAAATCCACTGCCAGCGTAGTTTGAGCCCTTATAATATGAACTATAACTCTACATAACAATATACATTACATTATCATATCTGTATAAATCAGTTTGGATTCACATAATATTATGCAGATCAAAATGGGTTTTCAAAGACAGGTCAGGGACTGTAAGCACACATAGGAGAATACGACGCTACGCAACCGAGTGAGCTGGATGGAGGCAAGATGGAAGAAATACTGCAGGTGTGTGTGTGTGTGTGTTTATGGACTGAGTGTTCGGAGTTGAACCTGAGGGTACATTTTGGGGATTGTCATGGAAACTGACTTTAAGTAAAACCAACACATCTTGTTACCTTCAACCAATCAATGACAGTTTCAGTCAACCTTTTATAAGCAGCGGTTTCATTTTGACACCAGCCTACGTTTACACAGACTTACACAGTGCTTAAAGTCTGACTACATTTAACTGAACTTCAGGGTCTACAGTTTAGGGGCATCTACGTTGTTTTCACACTCATGCTGAAATAAAACCTCTATTGTAGATGCATGAAAGTTTGACATGATACTAATTGCTAGCATTAATAGGATAGCCATGCATTTCATATACAGTAGAGGAGCCGCATGACTTCAGTGGTATTATACAAGAGATTCCATTAACAAGGACAAATTACATCAACTCAACATCTGCATTTGAACTGTTTTAAAAATGGCTTTTGAGTAAATTAGGTTATTAGATCATTGTAGCACCTCACCCTCTGATTTGGACAGCAGCTTTAAGGTTGTAGTGTAGAAAACTATTGAGAGAAAATAGGGCATTTATAATGTGTTTTATAAGATTCGCAAAGTAAATAAGGTTGTGGAGGAACATTTTGCACGTGTATCTGAATACTGAATTCACATTTGTGCATTTTTGAGCAAAATTTCACACAGCTAGATTAAGAAATGATCTCTTTTTATGATTTACGTATTTGATAGTCCCACCCAAGCGGCAACCTTCAGGACTGAAAAATGAAGCCAAAACGAAACTGCCAAAAGCTGCAGTTCCTTTAATGGCCACTTGAGGCTGGCTCCAGAAGCCAGTCAATCCCCACAGAACCCCCATGTTAAAATGCCCAGCTTTACAGCAGAAATAAGCATGTTTACAGCCTGGTACAAAAAAAAAAAGACAGTTTTGGTGTCTCTAACTTCTTTCAAAATTCATGACTATTGTAGAGGGGGAGGCTTCAAGTTACATATGATTAAGGGTGTGTCTGCTTTGAGTGACAGGCTGTCTGCCAATAATGTGCTTGGCTTCTCAGTCAGATCCACCCCACACTCCTTCATACCCAGATATGATCACCTTTGGCTCTAAAATGCCAAGATGGCGAAGGCCGAAGTGCCAAACTCAAGGCTTTGAAACAGGGTCCATAAACCAATGGGTGAGGTCACGGTAGCTGCATCAATAGTCCCACCCTTGAGACAGAAACCCACATGGACACACTGATTTTTTTTTTGCAATACAGTATGTTTCTGTGGGAAGGGGTGAAAAAAATGTACACTCTCTCATGCCTAAATAACAGAATAGGTCAATTTCTGCTGACCTCCAAAACCACTTTTATGACCAGCCTCAAAATGACAAACTTTACCGGTCTAAGGGCCACAGTTTATCGTAGCGATTCGTCATGAGACGGTCGCAGTTCTGCCTCAAAACTACTTGGTTAGGGTTAGGCAGCAAAACTGTGTGGTTAGATTTAGGAAGACAGATGTAAGTTTTGCATTAAATTAGTACTTTGGTCGCATATTTCACAAACGATATGTAACGTATGTCACTAGCATGGCGTGTTACACATACTAGCATACTAGGCTGAAAAAAATGTACACTAGGCTACTTTGTTATTAAAAGAAGTCAATGTTGACTTTGGGACACAAACACCAGTCTCCTGGGTGAAAGTCCTGACCCATCCACCACCTCTCCCACCCATCCTGTAGGGGCTTCTTTGATATTTGTAGAACATTACGCAGACTAAATCGCATTATGTGCCACTTTATTTCCCCCTCTGCTGGAGTCATTATTACCACGGCCAATAGAGGGCACCACCTTACAATAAATGTAAGTATGGGTTGTACTACGCTGCTTGCACAGTTGACCTATGAGATTGTTTTTTCGGTGACCACCAATCACATCAAAGTTTTCTATGGCCAATTATTACAATTAATGTCATGGCTGCTGTGCAAGTAAGATTATCTTTAACATTTGTGGTATGGATTTGTTCTTACAGCACAAATATTCAGATACACATGCACATTTTTTTCCACTTTACAAAGCCTTATTTACATTTGTGAATCCTATAAAACACGTCAATAATAGAATTGTTCTCTGCTGATCACTTCAATAATATAACAAAGCCAAATTCATTTTGCATTGCACCTAATAATGTATTATTTCTGCGCACAGTCAATAACAGTGAAACCTTTTCACATTTCTGTAATAGCTTTATATGCCTTCTTCTCTCTTACACCATACACATAAAAATAAATCTCTGCCTTTTTTTCTTTTTGCAGCAATTTACAGTATATTAGACACTCAGCTCACCTACATTTCTCACACTGCAAGGATTTTGCGTCATACACAAAACTCAATAATGCTTTCCTGGTTAGTCTTTCATGAAACAGGACATTTTCGAGGATTAAAAATCAACTGTAAAACATATTCTGCATGCAACAGTGTAGCATAGAAACCTTGTAAGACCAAAAAGACAATGTTTTCATATCCCTTCTTTAAAATTTCAACATTTTTCACACATTTAAATAGTTTGACGTTCATCCTTAAATTAGAAAACATTTTCAAAGGTTGGACAAGTGTCAGTAAAAGAAAAAAAAAGAAAAGAAAAGAAAAGGCAAACATGGCAACGCAGAGTTTCTGCAAGACATATACTGACACACTGATCCCAAACAGTTTCGTCAAGGGTTTGACGTATAAATATACTCATGAAAGTATCAACAGACACATTCTTATAGCTGCTTCACTGGCAGTGACTGATTACATTTCTGCACACACTGACAGAGACCAAGTCCTCCTACTGGGACATGGACACATTTTCTGGAAAATAGTATCAGCACTGGGTAAACAGTGTGGTGTTTCATTAGACAAACATTCCTCTGAGGCAGAAACCGCTGGCGAGAGGTAAACCTCAGTAGATAGAGCCAAATATTCCTTGACATCTAAATGAAACTGAAGTCAAGGAGTTAGAGAGGACAGAGCTTATCTGATGAAGCATATATCTTGATGAAATGAGTTGGAGTTTTGTAAAGCTAATGCTATTCAGTTTTATTTATCATAGTCCAGTAGTCCATAACAGGCCAGATTTAGTTTTTTTCTATGCTAAAGTGGGGGATACTTACTTTATATTATCCTCTTTTTTTTGGCATTTTAGCTGTGATTGGATGGGGATGAAACAAAGTTGGTTTTGTTTGCATGGTTTGGTTCTTTTTGCAATCTAATCAGGAAATGTACTCAATGAGTGGGAGAGACAAGGCATTGTGGACTTGCTTTGTGTGACCAACCTGAGTATCTGTGTTGACTGCAATTTATAGGACCAACAGTTCTCAATCAGAGGTAACTGAGTGCAGGGGTGTGTCAGTGCTGCATGTGAGGCTGGGTGTGGCCAAGACACAGCAGAAAGAGCTGGGTCTTTTGTACAGTGCTTATTGATTTCTTTTCATTTCAATAAAGAAACTTGTTTCTTGTCATAATTCCAGATGAATCAGTGAACTTGTTGGAGTCGGCAGATTCTAAGGTCTGGACCCAGGCTACACCAAAGCAAATTTCAGGAATGGACTCCTGGTTTGGATTCCACCAACTGCTGCATCCACTAAAATCTGAATTGATGCAGGCAGAGTTTGCGACAGTATGACCAAAACAATAAGCTAAAAGAGTATAAAACATTTGGTGATTAATCTGTGTGGGTCCGTCAGTGACCCTCATCAGAAAGTACTGATTTGTACAGTTTTAAAGTGGTCGGAAACCTGTGGGTGGTGCTTTATCAGACCCTTTTACCACCATCCACTTGCACAATTTTAAAGTGAATGATTTCTTGTTTGCTCTTGAGGTTGCCTGTTAGCTATTGCAAGGGCTCATTAATGCTCAACATTAGGTATGGAGATGGACACAGCCTTCTGTCCAAACCCTGCATTCTTTTTGTCCATATTTGTGCACGTTTTCTGAAAGCTTATGGGTACAGATGAAACAGAGCAGTACCACCTGTAAACAAGGAGGCAGTGTAGCATACTTCAAGCAAGATACGACTGTAGGAGATGACGACAAAATTTAAATAATGGCAGAACAGAATGAATGGCTAATATAGTAATATATATATAAAAAAAGGGAAACTCTTTTAGGAGCTGCACCTTGTCAAAATAAATCAAAAGTGTTAACAATGGTACTGATACTATTCTTTCTCAGACCTGAATTAATATCGTAAACACTCAGGCGACTAGTCAAGTAACGGCCCTAAATGACAACTATTAGTCAACTAGGAAAATTCTTAGTTGGGGGCAGCCCTGGTGAAAAGAACTCTTCATCCACATGCTGGGATGTATTTAATGGCCTCACAGACCACCAACCATATCTAACACTGCCCCTTTTTAAAGGTACAGTATTATGACCTCCTCCACTGTCCCCTGATTTGTTGTGTGAAATGCTCAACTCTGCCATCTAGTGCCATCCAACAGCTGTATCTATGCCATCATAAAGGCTGCATGGAAGTATGAGGACAGTGATGTTTGCGACGCTTGAAATGGACATATCTATTTTCATGGATAAAGGGAGTATAAATGAGCCCTAAGCTGTATACTAATGAACTGTGGCTCTGTGTCTCTGCCTGCTGACCTCCACCTCAAACCAGCCAGTTTATATCTGATGCAGATCAGCTCTGCTCCTGAGAAATGTTTGTAAAATCACCAAAACATGATTGATATCTGCAGAACATACCTGCAGTGCAGAAACATAGCACATATTGAATTTCACTGCAACTCACATTGATCCTACTTCATGGCGGGACTGTGCGCCCACAGTACATTTTTACTTTTACATGACAATTACACATGAATCAATGTAATGCAATGAAATGGCTTAAATAGGGTAACAGGATAATAACGTTGACATGTGAGCCTTGGCAGTGATGGAGCAGCAGAGACGTGTCAGAGTAAATCATTAAAACACTGGAATGACACTGATGGTTGGCTGTGAACAAAACATTTCTTTATTACCTTGGCAACACGTTAGGAAACTTGGAGTTGTGCCACCTTCAGCTACGCATTCCTGCTTTCTTTCCATATATTCTCTCTGCTTGCAAATCAAATCCTCCTCTTCAACATGTCACTAACTCAGAACTGCAGAGCGATGCCCCAGCCAGAGTTCAGAATATTTATGCCATAGAAAACATAAACATAGAATCACAAAAGTATGGCATAAGCTCTCAGGGAAACCAGCCCTGATCTGCCTGATATGCCTGGTAAAAATAGCCCTGACTACCATATACATCTTATAAATCCCACACATACACACATGCACACATATGCACTCACCCAACCACACATGCACATGTATGCCGTTACATCTCGATTCTTCATAGTTCTGCTGAGCAAAAAAATAGGTTGAAATACTGCAGGCTGTGGATTTATTACAGTCTCTTATCGTGTTTCCCAGTTTCAAAGGTAAAAAAACGAAGAGATACAGCAGCTGTCGGAGTTCCTCGAAGGGGAAGAAAAATTTGTATGTATTTTTGCACCTCTGAAAGTGAATGCATATTTAATTCCAATATGGATTTTCACTTGGCAAAATATCAGAAGCCAGAAAAAGTTGCATGCTTTGGATCAGTCTAATCTTTGTCTGTATGTGACAAGAAGAAGAAAAAAAAAAAGTGATACAGCTTCGGGTGGAGAATGTGGATGAACAAGACAGAAGTAAAGCTACAGACGAGGCCTGCCAATGATTTAGTCTCTCAGCAGGACACATTGTGGTGTGTTAGTGTGCTCTCATCTACTGCAGGCTGATGAGGTCACTTGAACTGTTGAAAAAGCTCTCTGACTGAACTCCAAGCACTGCCTTTAAAAGGCCACACTCTCTCCACGGGCTCAGAAAAGGTAGGCTTAATATTGCACATCATGTCCGCATGCCTTGATATTATCGATCAGTGATACTGGTTTCTCCTTTTGTCCGACTCAGAGTTGTAGTCCCTGAGGCCAATGCTTTTATGGAGGTTGAGAAGGGAGTCTCTTAGCTGGATGAAAAGGCAGGAAAGACGTAAGTCAGAGTTTGTACAAGAACACTAGTAATCAAATGTTTAGATCACAGAGTGGGTCTACAGACAAAACAATCCAATGCTCACTGACTGAGACCGACTACATCTACACTGCTCCAACATGTTTCTGATAGTGTCCACGAGTATGGACACACATGAGGTATCCGGGAAGTGATGCATGAGCTGAAACCATCTCTTAAATAGCAGTGAAAATATGCACTCTATTTCTTTGTTTAGTTGATCTGCACACACTTTGAGTGCATGGCCAGGGATGCCATCAAGTCCTGGTATCTGATATCTGTTCCATCAGATGAGCTTAAGATGGACGACTGAGACCTTTCCTGTGTAGACATGTTGTGAGTAAAGGGCTCAGGCTGTGCTCTCCTACAGTCTTCCACACCATTCACTGCCTTAAGATCAGGCGTCTCACACAGCAACACTGTTTACGTCACTATCTTGCTCATCGAACCACTTGACTGCTCGAGTCTCTTTAAAAAGTTATTTTGAGCATGACGAAGGTCTTCAGCTAAGTCGTTTGGAAACAAAGCGAAACAGAACTTTCTCAAAGAACTAAATTGACAACACAGCCTATGACCGTATTTTGTGGTGCTGTACACTCCTTGTGTTTGACCGGCTCTCTCACCTTATCAAGCAGCAGCAGTGATGATTTGATTATGTCTCTCCACTTCTGGAGCTCGTCGTCATGGTAACGCTGCTGGGAGTCCATGAGCTGCACCCATTCCAGCTGGGTCTGAGGTGGTCTGATAATGAGACACAGTTATATAGATGTAACACACACACACACACACACACACACACACACATTCTTGTTGTTCTTCTAAATGCGTTAATCGTATATAACTTTATACATGGCCCAGCCAAGACCTTGAATAAGACTGAATCATTCTGGCCAACAAAGATCAGGTTTCTTCAAATTTAAACCCTAGGACCAGTTTGCGAAAGCAAAGCAAAAAATTAAAGTTAACTAGAGCCCCTTCTTTACACATGCACTGCAACCCTATACGTATCTAGACATTACCCAGGGGAGCTGTATGTGACAAGGCACATGTCCGAATCAGTTAGATTGAACTTTAAACGGACTTTACCCAGCCAGCTCCTTAGTACAACGTCTTTATAATGTGTCATTGAACCCATGTGTGAATAGAGCAGGTAACTGTCTGGAGAAGTCACAGCGAGCAAGTTGGTGTGTTGACGAACTTTCTATGAAGATGAAGAGTCATTAACACAAAGACCGCAACAAAAATGTAGAACGCAAGAGACAAGATTATGACACTTCTCTCTAAAAGGGCCGTTGCTGAGAGGGTGAAAATGCTTCTGACAAAGACAATCTCCTGTTGTGGGCTACATGTGTGAAAAGGCAACTAATGACAATGTCCAGAGTTTCTATGAGAAAGTGGCTTAGCATTTGGAGCACACAGAAAAAGCTGCACTTCACCTCAACAAAACACAAAGAAGACATTACATCTGAGGAAGATTCAAGGCCAGGCTAAAGCAGGATTTATACTTATGCGTCAGAGTTTTTGTGATTTGCTGTAAAGTTTGGTTGATTCAAAATACACCTTAATAGCTACAATTTCAAACACTTAACTATAACTCACAGCATTCAGAGACAAACACTTGTCTTTTGCTGGACACATTTTCCCCCCAAACACATCATGCTTATGTTTTTAGCACAAGCCTATGACAGTTTACATTGTATAAATTAGCTTAGGGGCTAGCAGACTTTTGCTCTACACATATGAAGCTAAAGCTTTGTTAAAACATTTAACAAAGGTAACGTTACAAAATTCAGCTCCATTACAACTGACAAGGTTCACCGACAAAACAACTGTCTTGTACTAAACACGTTTTCCAAACAAATACAACATGCTAATGTTATTGGCACAAGGCTATGACATTTTACACTGTATAAATTAGCCTAGCAACGAGCAGAGATTTCCTTTGCTCAAATGAAGCAAGCTATTTTTGTGGAGGCTCTATTGTCTTCAATTTATTGTTTCTGATCTGTGAAATTAAAGTAAATAAAAGCTTCGTTTCCTCTGAGGGAAATGGTTTCAGCTTACAAATATAGACAGGAGGTCTGCGTCGCCGCGATGTGTAGTTACATTTCTGGGGAGGTGCAAGTCAGGCTACGGCGTAGGCTCTACATCGACTCAGAAGTATAAATCCTGCATAAGTCTTTTGAGCCTGCTTTTAAGGCTCAGACTGTAACTTATAGTTTTATGGGTGATGATTTTTCTCAAGTGTCATTAAAAGGTAGTTGCTAGAGTAAATGTTTCCATAGATCACCACATTATCATTTATTTTTGTAGCTCCTACTGAGCTCTTCTTCACCGACACTGACGTCACTGAGTGCTTCAGCAAATCTGGTGCTGAACACATGAAGATTGATTAAAAAAAAGAAAAGAAATAATGACTTCATGCAGTGTTCAGCACTTTAATGCTTTGATGATCATGTGAATGCAGTTTAAAGCTCCCCAGTGTCAGTTTAACCAAGTGTGGTGCCACAGAGCTCTTTTCTGGGAGGATTTATCATCCATTCCAAAGATCTGTACCAAACAGAAAGAAATACACACAGGCACAACCAAACACCATGATTTCTTTTTTCATATCTACCTTTCTTCTGGTCTCATTTCCTGCGATGCAGTGAAACTCTGTGTGGTGTACTCCAGCATCCACAGCTTGTAGAACAACATTACGTTTAGAACCACCACCAGTATCAGGCTACAAAGAGAGAAGGGGAACAAATACAGAGAGACTTTACTACAGGGCCTCATCTACCACATCATTTAATGCCATTTACTGAAATGAATCAGGGCCATGGCAGAAATGAAAATACCTTATACAGATCCTATGGGATGCAATTGAAGACAAGGACAGAGAAAAACAGGTACATTACAGCAAATTGAAACAACACAAAAGAAAGGAAGATAGAGGAAGAAAGACAGAGTGCACATCCTGAAATATTCCCTAACTACACTCTGAAATTGTATTAGATGTCTAAGAATGATAAAGCCGAAACAGCTAACCACAGGCACTGATAAGAGATAAAACTGACTGTATTGTTGTGAAAGGAAATTAACTGACATCAGTTCAAATAATCAAGCAATCATCATCAGTCATTTAGCAAGCAAAAATGCTAAATATTCTCTTGTTAATAATTGTGAGGATTTACTGCTTTTTCTTTGTTTTATAACATCCATCAATTCAATTTCATCTGCTTATCCAGGTCGCGGGGGCAGCAGGCCAAGCAAAGCACCCCAGACGTTCCCTCTCCCCAGCAATGCTTTCCAGCTCCTCCTGGGGGACCCCAAGGTGTTCCCAGGACAGATGAGATATGTAATCCCTCCAGCATGTCCTGGGTCTGCCCCGGGGCCTCCTACCAGTGGGATGTGCCCAGAGAACCTCTAACAGGAAGCGCCCAGGAGGCATCCTGATCAGATGCCCGAACCACCTCAACTGACCCCTTTCGACGTGAAGGAGCAGCGGTTCCACTACGAGAAAACTCCCGGTGTCTGTGCTCCTCACTGTATCACCATATCTAAGGCTGAGCCCAGCCACCCCATGGGGAAACTAATTTCAGCCGCTTGTATCCTCAATCTCATTCTTTCGGTCGCTACCCAGAGCTTATGACCATAGGCGAGGGCTGGTATGTAGATGGACCAGTAAATCAAAAGATTCACGACAATAAACTGAATATTCTTGAGTTTTGGACTGTTGGTCAGTCAAAACAAGACATTTGAAGATATCATCCCAGAAATTTTGATTGTCATTTAAAAGATAAAAAAATTAACAGATGACTGATTGCAGCCAGGATGTCGATCCTGCTTAACTCCCTGATGGGTCATTAGAGAAAACTGCTTGTGCTGAGTTTGAATTTTTCTGTTTGGGATGTGTGAGGGAGGACTGATAAATCATTTGCCAAGCAGGGTGTGATAACAATATCCAAGTAATACAATAACTCACACAAGGCTGATGAGAAGCAGCAGTCTGGAGAAGCTGTAGAATGTGAGGCCTCCTGGAGCATCAGGTATGTGTCTGGTCTGTGTGGAACCTACAGGAGAACAAGACACAGAGAGCAGGGACTGAGACAGAGTCTTAAAAATGATAAAGGTGCTGTGTGTAGAGTTTTGTCTTTCACAAAGTTGCAGGGAAACTACATTTCCCATAAATCCTGTCCTGGTAAAAGAGGGTGTTGTTGCTCAGTGTCAGTCCTACAGTATCTCACTGACAACAGACCCATTGGTGACCTCTGCTGGGCTGACCTGCCACATGTTTGATGTGGTGGATGTCCTCCTCATCCTCAGGCGTGGTGACAGGGCTCAAGGCAGCGTCCATATTCCCCGGCGTTCTCAGGTGATGGACGAGCGTTCGTTTCCTCCTCCGGCTAGTGCCCGTCCTCAGAGCCTTGTTCTTGGGCGACTGTCTGTGAGGATCCACTAACAGCACATCCAACTTATTCAGCTCCAATTCTGTAAACCAGAGAGATAATGGGAGGTTAGAGTGGGTAAAAGGTTGCAGTGGGAGTCAGTCAAATGGTTTGGTGTGCCTCAATTTACATTTGGTCTCTTTGTAATCTTTATTACCATATTTCAAACAAAGTTGTAAAATATCAACACTTGGGCACTGACTTCCGGCATCAGACCCTGACGAAAAAGCTGTCCTTTCATGTTGGTATGATATGCGGCCAGTTGCTGTTATTGTGTAATAGTGTCCTGTAGTGTCAGGGGGAAACACGGCGGGACAACAACGTAAGTTAAAGGGGGGAAAAGTCTGAGTGGGGTGCGTGGGAGTGGTGGTGGATGGATCCAACAACCACTGTTATACACCTGGGAGGCCGTTTTTTTTTTCGCTTCCCGGAAGATGTAGTCATACCGTGTTCTTGTTTCCTAAACCCAACCACATGTGTGTTGGCTAAACGTAACTGCATGTGTTTGTTGTTGAAAGAAAAAACTGTGACTGTATGCAAACTGTACATTTCCTGTGAATTCTGAAAACAGACAACGCATGTAACAGGCAGAACTTGACACAGCGTCCCAGAACATCAACAACCAACACACCCAGGGTACCTTGCACATCATATGTCGACGTAGAAAGTCCATGGTCAAACGTTGATAGGTGACGAAATCGAAGTGAGAATGTGTTGGTGTTTCTTACCGCTTTTCCATGACGGAGAGGTTACAATTAACACAGACAGAGGCATGGACTTGAGTCACATGGAGTCTTGACAAAATCATAAAGACTTGCAACTCAGCTTAGACTTTAACACCAGTGACTTGGACTTTAACCCTTTGAAATGACATCTTCCCAATGCCCAAACATTAAATTTACATTATAAAAAGTCAAAGCATCTGTCTAATTTTTGTCCGTTGCCAGTTTGAATAACACCACTTCTCAGACTGCAGATAATATCTTGCTTTTCCTCAAAATTACACAACAAAAAACAGTGTTTGTCCATGCCCTCTAGAATGACACAGAAATGTCTTCTGATCTGACGCCTATATCGTCATATATCGTGTTTCTCCTTCCCAAAATAAACTGTAAGAAAATGACCACAGAACGACCACAATTATGAGAATACGACCCAGGTTCAAAAATAGCAGACATTTCCATGAAGTGTTGTTTGTGTTGTAAGGCTAACCCAAGTGCCTGAAGTACTCATCTAGGCCACTCCAGAAGTTCCTCTCAATAAAGCCCTTCACAAGCCCCCATGGCTGCTTCCTGTAACGAAGCTCTGTCGACACCCTGCAAGACACACATGTTTTATTTCACTCTCTATTTAGCAAGTTAACATGTTGCTTGGCTGATGTTGCATCACAGTGAAAATGGTAACAATATGCAACTTTTAAGGCAGTGGTTCCCCAATGGTGGATCACAGGTCCATTCCAAATGGACTGCAAGTGACTTGCAAACATGTCAGGTTTGTAAAAAAAACACACTTTATTTTGAAGTGCAATGAATATCCGGTACAGAGCTTTTATTTTGAAGTGCCGTTTCATGCTGTAGAGTGAGTGGATAATGGACGACTACTTAAACGAGACAGCAAACTAGCTCGACAACGTGGCCAAACACAAGTATGATGCTGAGAATGTTAAACTGTATGGACCTTGAACTAATGACTAAGACGAAATCTGGACCCTGTGGCTGGACCAGTAGGGAACCACTGCTTTAAGGTCTTCACTCGGCTCTTATGCAGTTAACTCAACACCTGACTTTTAAATGAGGCACACAAGTCTTTGTTCTTGTCATGAAACCCACATGAGAGTCAGATATTACTACTTACCTAAGACGACATTTGTTCTTGGCTACTCTGGTGAGCATGTAGCGATTGAGAGTGTAGAAGTAGTCGTGGTAGGGCACGTCATGGGCGATCACCTCTGCGTCGATAATGTAGCACTCATTGTCCTGGCTCGCCTTGTACAGAGTCTGTAGTCACAGCAGCACACAGTCAGATACAATTTTCAACTAAGAAACAATTCAAGTGACAACTTCAGGGAATAGGCGGCTAAACCATAAAATATCATACAGTGGTTTCAAGAAATACGCAAGAAATTCCAATGACATAATTTATTGAGACCATTTAGTGTCTCGGCTTGTGAAATGTCCACCTACCTGTGTCTCAGTGACTGTGGCTGTTTTGGGAGCCAGAGGATTATTCAGGGCGAGGGTGTACATGATCGCTCTTGTCTGGTTACCATCCTGCTCTTTCCTCCAGGGGTGATACACCACATCTGTAAGAGAAAACAAAACCTAAAGGCACCCCGTGGAGTTTTTGATAACTGGTAACACTATGAAGCAATGTGCTTATAGGTCAGTGTTTTGTTTGTATCACGCATGTGCATAAGGCGCGAGCAATGCCATGCACATCCTACCATTCATTTCACACTATTTGGTTGATCAACAGTTAGTGGTAGTATCACACAAAGAAACATTACAATGTCTTATGAGGAAGGATATGCACTTAGAACAATATCAGGTGCCTTTATGAACATTGAAACAGGCTGTTCTCTCATTGTATTTGCTGAAAATTCTGCATTTGGGTTTTTACTTTGTATGTGTCAGACAGCTGTACTGATATACACAATCCTGTTTGATGTTCTGTGTAAAATCATGGACAATTATTCAAAGTACTGATGTTCATGGACAAAGAATTGAGACCCTTAGCTGGCACCAGATGTCTATATGACGTCAGAAGGACGTTGGACTCTTATGTTGGACAGATGTTACATGTTGGTTGGAATGAAAATCAGGCTGACGATATGTTAGATGTCTAACGACTGTAAAATTTCACATTGTGTAGACGTTAGCATCATGACGTACGCAGACGTTGGGTTTTGTTCTGCAGACATGGAACAGTTTGAATGTGGAGCTCAAGCATTGTCCAAACATACACCAATTTAAAATAAGGTATAAAGAAATTATATTCAGGAGGTACAGGGTTGAAGAAGGGGTTTGATATTCGGGTCCATGTCATTGGTTCGACAGCCCATTGGTTCAACATCCCATTGGTCCGACTGTCCGCGGTGCTGAACGGCTCGCGGCGGGCGTATGGTGCGCCGCAACTGGCTTGAGGCGGAGCAGGCTCACGGCTTATGTGTTTGTCACTTTCTTTTTCATTTTAACCCACACCATGATCTTTTCCTGACCCTAACCAAGTGGTTTTTGTGCCTAAACCTAACCAGACCTTAACCACAGGGCATCATGATGATTTCGGAACGGACTTCGGAAAAATGAGTTTAATATGGTCGGAACAATGGGATGTCGAACCAATGGGCAGTTCCCTGATATTCATCAGTTGACCAAATTCACCAAATAACAATATCAATACATAGTGCCTAACATAAGATTTGCATGATACGTTTGGAAGACGCTGGATTTTTGTTACATAAAATACAACATAAAAAAAACCCAAATAAATATCGATTTCGTCTGTCATCACTATCGTGTGTCAAAGTGATGCCTAACACTGAATTTGGCCACCCGCCGTCACAACCCAAGTTCAACCAAATAACAATATCTAACAACACTGGCTGCCAGCTGGGTTCCCTGTGCTCAGTTTGATCAACTTGTTGACTTTGATGATGAGTGATTATGTCTTCATGCAGTAGGGTGACACTTGTGAAGTTGCACCATGTTTGAAACTGATGGAATGCGTGAGGAAAACAAAAGTCATTGGGGAGAACAAGAAAGATGTATTTCATTGCAGCAGACACAGGAGACAGGATGTGTACATTCCACAGTTTTACCTGAGAATCTCCTCTGCTCCCTAAAGTCCCTCATGAACTCAGACTCAGTGAAAAGTAAGTCATACATCTTGTCCACACCAATCTTGTACACCTCGTTGACGTATTGCCTGCCACTCAGGTCCTCGTGGAAAGCCTGCACCTCACCTGCACAAAGAGTATTTCTGTGTGTGAGTGTGTTGTGGAATGAAAACTGAACAGATGAAGATCTGCACACTTTAGGTTATATTGAGGGGGACAGCTGTATTTTGTGTTACATGATTAAAATACATTTTTGATTTCTTGGTTTAGGGCAGGGTGATATCATGACACACCTTCGTCATGCGTCTCAGATGAGTCACTGAGCTCGGTGGGCAGGTCCTCATTGTCGTTGAGGTCCGGTGACGGTGAAGGGACGTGGCTGCTGTGCGGGCTCATCTGCTGGCTGCTGCGGTTCTCGAGCATGGGGAGGGTCAAGAGGTCTGCGTCTGGGAGAGGGCTGGATACATCCTCCACAGGTGCCAGGTCGTACTGCTGGACCGGGAAGATTGAAAAAGGTCAACCAATAATACTGGAGAGTAAAAGCAGGGATCTCCATTATTTATACAGACGATCCAATGATTTCTCTGCCTTGTAAAAGCACTCATCTTTCAAACTTCATGCCCTCAGTTTTTAAACACAGGAGCCCCCACACGACATAGTGTGCTATTTTCTGCAGTAGTATACACATTTAATGATTCTCGTGTACTCACAGGAACTGAAGAGTCAGTGCTGGGCAGCTCTGGCGTAGCATTGTTGGGGAAGGCTTTGTGGGGCAGGATGGGGCTGACATCAGGTTTGGCCTCAGTGTTCTTGGCGAGGGCGTTGCTGGTGTCATTGCCCTGCTCATTGGTTTCCTCCACGGGCAGCTCTTCACAGTACCTGCACCACGGAGACGGACAGCAGCTGTAGGTCAAGGTTACCAGCTTGCTGTACACTGCCCGCACTGGGCTACACACATGCATGGGCATGGGTGTGATGGAGGTGGTCATGGTTTTTAGTTTTCTTTATGGATTCTCCTGCAAGGTGGACACCAAATATCTGGACTGTTTTGATCCCTGATTATGCAGTTTTAAGAACACATGCAGAAATATCTCTTACAGCGGACATATTTGTACTTCAGTTTTAGTTGCTGTAAGTTGAAATTCTTTCTTACATGGTATTTTTTTTAACCATCATCTTCTGGGTTTAGGGAAGGTACAGACCTACGTAACCTCAGTTCATCCGTTTTATTTGCAGAATATTTTAACAATTTTTAGCATATCATTCCTTAGAATTCCCTGTGTTCATTATTAAGGGGGAATTATCTGCTGAGGTCTCGTCCTCAGCAAAACAAATGGACCAGGTGAATAAAACCAGTAGAAACAATGAATAAAGCAGTTTCATGTTACAAATCAGTCTTTCTCTGATGCTGTTTGGCATATCAAAGACGGCCGCTAGTCCAGTGCCTAGACATGTGATGCTGTGCTCACCTTTTTTTTTGGTTCCTCAAGATCCAAATGTTCAGGAGGTTTTTACTGGGAGCCGAATTATCTGCAGAGATCTCCTCCTCTCCAAAAAAACTGGACTAGGTGATTTCAACCGGTGAAGACATTGAATAAAGTAGTTTCATGTTAAATGTCAGTGTTTTTCCGATGTGGTTTGGTTTGTCGCAGAGGTGCTGCTTACTATAGGCCCGTTTCCACTGAAGAAGTTCCTGGTACTATTTGGGGGGCAGGAACTACTACAGGAACATCCTCTCACTCGGCCCTCTCAACCGCCGTGTCTCCACTGAGAGAGCGGAGTAGGAGTAAGGTTCCTGTAAAGTTACCGGGCTCTGTATGTGACGTAATCGTTGCGCGACCATTTTGACCGGGCGACGTAGGGGCGCCGTTAGCTGTTAGCCGTTAGCAGTGTCTGTAATAACTCCAGTCACGGTCCGTGAAAAAAATATTTTTTCCAGCGGATGTCTTAGTTACAACATGATTGAACTAACTGGAGTAGTTTCATGTCGTATCCGACAACGGGAGGCTTTTAACAGATGACGTCCTGATGTTAGCTTTGCTGCTGCTGTTAGCTGTCCCTGTCAGCTGATGCTTTCTAGACATCGTGATTTCCCAAAACTGAATAAATACCACACATAGCAACACAAAACTGCTTTGCTAGCTCAATCATGTTGTAACTAAGATATCCGCTGGAAAAAATATTTTTTTCACAGACTGTTTATTGAGTTATTACAGACACCGCTAACAGCTAACGGTTAGCCTAGCTAAACTACGATAACCATGTTGTTATTTACAAAACGTCACATCCCACCTTGAGTATATCCAATCAGCACCAAGTAATCCCCAAGCCCCAGCCAGGAGTCTTTTGGGGCCGTTCTGAGTACCTACCCCGAGGCAGGGACTTGTTTAGCCCCTGTAAAAGTTCCGGAACTCTGTCCTTCGGGGGTGGTTCCTGCGGTGGAGACACGCACCAATGGCCCCGGCCCCATAAAATTACCCCGAAGTTCCTGCGGTGGAAACGGGCCTTATGGTGGCTGACGCAAAAATGTAAGAACCCGAAAACACAGTTTCAGTGTTTGTCAGGGAAACAATTACTCAGTTGACAGGAAGGAGGCAGTCATGTCAGACAGACAAGTTGTCATGTAACATAAAGAAAAACATGGTTAAACTATGAATATTTGTCACCATGAGGAAATGTATAATGGAACATATGATGGATCCAGGGGATTTTCATGGTGGTGTATAAAACTCACCCCATGGTGTTGAAGTCCTCATCAGGAGGAACGTAATCCTCATCATCACTGGTCAGGCCAAGTTCATTACCGTAACACTGATGGACAAAGTGCCACAGCTCTTTTGGACATAAAGGCTGAGAGAAGACAAATTGAGAGGAGGACAGAGTGATCGAATTTGCAGGAGAAAAACAGAAGCTTGTCATAACAGAACGTGGGTGGCCATCATTCTAATGGTTTGATGCTTCTAACAAAAAAAATCATCTTTTTACTTAATTCGTTTGCTGTAACTGTTGTGAGTAATGCCTCATGTTCTCTTGTATGTTGAGTCCAGGAAGCATGATGATGGCAGGCCCGACCAGGTTCTGATATAGTGGGTGTAACTGACATCAACAATTAACAATGACAGTGTGACCAGTCTTACCTTCTCTAGCAGGGCATTCTGCCACAGTCTGAACATCATCATGTATGTCCGGTCCCTCGCCCCAAATGAGGTGAAAAAGTGCTGAGAGAAGGGCATAGATAAGAATAAGATGAAGGATGAAATTATGAGTTTATTGGGAAAGTCATTTTTCATGTGCTTTGTCCCAACTATATCTGGGAAAATGAATATATTCAGTTGTTCTGAACACTTTCAACCTGCCAGATAAAAGGCTGCATCTGCATTATAACTTATCATCAAAAGTAGCCTTCAATACTGTCTAATAATGTTAAAAGTTGCTAAATATTCAAGTATAAAAAGGTTGCCTATTTGAAATTGAATTTGAATTGAAAATTTAAAATGTCTCAATCATTTTAAATGAACTTGCTCGGATTGTGCAGTGGTATGCTGTATATGCAAGGTACAGCCCAGTCGCCTCAAGAAAATGTTGGCATTGTCCATTTCTGCAAATCAGGAATATGTTACACTCTATGTTACATACTTATCATATCAACATTTCTAAATGTGTCAGATAACTGTTCGAGACCAACAAACAAAAAGCGAGATGCAGCATGTTATTGCTGTGTCTTCCAGTGACTTTGTAACCACCAAACATGGGTGTTTTTTGGCGAATTGTCACTGCATTTCCTGCCCGGTAGTGCCACAAAAAGCAGTTGTCTTTTACTGAGACATCCCCACATTTCCAGGTGAGATTGTACCATCACAACCAGGTATTTTAAGCCAAAACATGATATTTTTCTAACCATAACCAATTCGTTTTTGGGCCTAACCTGCTCCCATGTTAACTAGTGTTGTTGAAACATAATTTTCAATGTTGAATAATAACATACAATTGTAATATATTCTTTGTTTTCAAAAATGTACAACGTCAACATTTATTCTGGTGATTAGGTTGCAAGTTAAGGATGTCGAGCTGCCTACCTTTTCATTGTCAGTGCAAAGCTGGATGGCGTTGGGGATGAGGCGGGCCGTCTTCTCCTTGGTCATAGAGCAGATGTCCTTCAATCGTACCATCAGCTTGAAAGTAAAGAGCAGATGTTGTCACTGTGAAGGTTGATTACCTTGTAATTTAGTCAGTACGCCCTACTGCATGGTACAAAAATAAATTCTTCACCCAAGCAAAAATGAACATTGTAAGACTATAAAAAGTACACCGTTTTTCAGTTCCAGTGTCCTTACCAAGGTTTCCCATCGGAAGATGTTGCTGTAGAAACAAATCCAGTTCTCTGAGAGGTAGAGGCGTCCCTGCAGGAGGATGTCCCGCTGCAGGGCACAGGAATAATCTGGAAAGAGTTAGATGTCAAAAGTCAACTGTGCTTGGAAGGAGACCTCTAATATTTTGCAACAGAGCTCCAGAGTGCAGAAAAATTCATGGGATGTATCACCGTGAGTCCATAACAAGGCACAATGGACAGCGTTATTTATAAACAGGTCATGTGGAGAGGATGAAAGCAGGATGTCATCAGTTAGGGCCTACATGGGAGTCTTTGTCATGTTTGTTCTGCTGTTAAAGAATATTCAAACACTAAAGTTGAGTGGATATATGTCTGAGTGGTTCAGACTCACCCACAATGAGGCGCTCAGTGTCGGGCAGCTGCTTGAAAAGCTTCCTGAAGTCCTCATTGCGCTGCTTATAGGTGGGACTCAGTACCTGCAGAGACAACAACAGAAAACAGATTTGTGCTTACATGCACCAAAAATACACATTTACCTTCACTTATTTTCCATGCAGGCCAGAGACACTCAACTTTGAGGACACAAAAAATTCATACCCAGAATGTACATATAGATGTTCTCACAGTGCCACAGTAATTAAATTATCAAAATTCTATGAGCTGTACGTGTGGTATCGCTCCAGGGAAGGTAACATAAGTCAGTAGGTCCATCCCTTTCGTACTCAGTGAAATGTCTCAACAATTGTTGAATGGATTGCTTTGAAACAGTCATGGTGTGCAGACAATATATCTTGCTGGCTTCTGACTTTCTATCTTGTTCCATTAGCAGGCTGACATTTGTGGTTCAGTGTGAAATGTTTTGACAACTGTTAGATGGTTTGTCTGAAAGTTGGATTCATGGTCTTTAGGAACTTCTGTAATCCTCCTACTTTATGGATTGCCATCATTGGGTCAGTGTTTAAATTTGTGCATTAATTTGCAAAATACCTGCAAGATCAATTACAGTCCCAGCCGCCTCAACTGTACTCTGTGTTATGTTCCACATTGTATGTGATCAAATGCAACATGCCAGCATTTGAAATTTGCTAAATTTAATGATAAACACCACTTTAAAGGAGATGTATGTCACATTCAGAGCATGTGTATGATTCAGAGTCTGGGGTGGGTTTGTCTGCACAGAGGTGACTCAGCTGGTAGCTACGATACTAACTCGTTTAAACAGCGTTAACAATCGCAAGCCACACGTGCACGTGTAGCTGGACCCTCTACTGTAACATTCGACAAAGAAGTTGGGATTATAACCATACAGTGTATAAATAATGGATGTAGCTACCGTGACGTCACCCATTGGTTTGTGGACTGCCATTCTGAAGCCTCAAGTTTGGCATTTCGTCCATCACCATCTTAGTTTTTGTAGCCAGAAATGACCATATTTGGATGTTTGGGTGGAGCTTTGGAGGAGCGAGGGCTGGATCTGACTCACAGACAGCCTGTCACTCAAACAGCCCCACCTTTAAATATACGCAACTTTGGGCCTTAATTAAATGTAAACAAGTGAGTTATGAAAAAAATTCACCCCCCCATACAGTTGTCATGAATGTTGAAATAACTAGAGTCCAAAACCGTTTTTTGTACCAGGCTAAAAACATGTTTATTTCTGCTGTAAAGTTGGCCATTTTAACAAGGGGGTCAATGGGGATTTGCTCTGTTTTAGAGCCAGCCTCAAGTGGCCATTAGAGGAACTGCAATTTTTGGCACTTCCGCATTGGCTTAATTATTTAGCCTTGGACGTTGATGCTTGGTTACAACACAAACAGAGGGAGTGTGACTTAATTCTCTGCTCAGGATGCCATTACTCAACTTTATCTTTACATAGCAAATAGCGGTTTGTGTTGTACTGATGCTCTTCTTTCAATAAATAATAATGGGAAAGTCTCATAAAGTGAAGTTAGTTTACCATTTCTGGAAAAAATAGTCCCAAATAAAATAATTTTTGCCTGATGCACTTACTTTGTCTTTGATAGACAACATGTTCTAATGTCAACATGCCGCAGAAATGAAGCAATGACGCAAATAAATCATTGGGAAATTCATTTCAGATGAGTGAACACCTCTAGTTTCAACCAATCTGACTTGGCAGTGAGCGCACATGAAGGAAATGAACCTGTTCCCTGAACTCAAATCATTTTGATCCACTCCAGAAACACCAGAATTTACCTATCTGCCATCCTCCTGTCTGACTGTGAATCTGAGAGAAAAAAATCTACACAGTTCCTCAACAAGTCTGTTCTGCGCCAAGCCCCAACTGACGGTTTTTGATCGTTAAACTGCACTTGTCAGTTCGGAGAGGGCACACAGGGAGGTAAACAGGCTGTCACAACTAAAGGCTAAAATATACAGATTAGCACACTGCATTCAAAATGTCACAAGATGCACTTTAAATACCAATAGCTCTAAACTGAGGCTGACAGTAGCTGATGTCACTGGTCAGGCTGTTCTCACAACTTCTCCACACACTCTCAAACCATGAAAAAACTACTGAATTATAAATCTAGTTTTGTTGTTGTGTTGTGATCTGTTGCCCAGGTTGAGCGACTTACAGCAGGGACCTGCTCTGAGGCCCGGTCCCACTTGTACCACTGGGCCAGCTGCTCTGCTCCACGCTCCAAACCATGCTCCCAGTTTGTTTCAGCTTCTGAGTGCACGGCTGATAAACTCTGATTCTGCGCTGGCGTCATCTTTCTTCGTTTTATCCGCCTTTTGTCTTGTCCCGTGTTTTTGTCCTCGTACAAACTTGATTTATTTGAATCTGCCATCCTGCCCTTCATTTTGTTTTGTTTCCAGATGTGAAAAGCAGTGATTCAGGTCATCACTGCGCACACACACACACACACACACACACACACACACACACACACACACACTGGTCACACACTCATGTTCTGCCTGGTGAGACAGCAGCAACAAACTTGAGATATTCTAAATGTTTTATATGTATGTTTCTTGTTGCACAGAAATCCCAAATAGTTTCCCTCTGCTTGATATCCAAAATATTGCGAATGAAGAAGCAGACTTTAAGTACGATTAAGTTAATAAATTCCAAACAGTTCTGATGATAGATCCTTTGTCTCAGTATCAGTGATGTCATCAGGCTGAGGCAGAAAGTGGTTTGTCCATGATATTCTGCTGGATGTCACAAGTTGCAGATCATCAGATCACATTTTCAAGGAACAGCCTGACTTCATGCAGCAGGAACTCATCACTCTCTCCTCTTTGCACCGGTCCGTCAGCACCATAACTCCACTACATGCAGCACACACTCCTGTTGTCCCACTACAAAATAACCTTGTTGAGTGAAGGATCACTGGAGCAACATGTGGACACATAATAGTGAGATTCCTCCTCAGACTGAGCTCTGTGACAGCGCAGAGTGTTTGGAAACAGGAGGAGCCAGTGTCAGTGTGTGAAAGAGGAGAAAGAGGGCAGAGAGGGGGGAGGAGGTCCAAGGAGAGTCTGGGTTTACTCAAGTTCATTGGGAGAGTGTGTTTGTGTGTGAAACGGGTGTTCATTTGAGTTGTTACTCACGTGCCCTGTCAGTGTGTTACAAAGACAGCCTATTTTGAATAAATGCTCAGCTCCACTACTCTCTTGCTTTTTTCTCTTTTGTCTATATCTTTCCTTTGGCCTGTCACTAAGGCAGACTGTGAACACCGACAACCAAAACAACAGGAAGTGTAGCAACCAATCCACTTCCTGGAGAAGAGTGTGTGTTTGTGTGTGCTTTTTGAGGTTTGGAATGAAACTTTAGCATATGGCAAAACATGTGATTTGAGTGACCAGTCATATCAAAAAAAGGTCTGCTCATTCTTTAGTTGCTACGAGCAGATATTGTGTTGCAGATGCTGATATTGTAAGAAAATAAACAAAACATTTTTAGTGAACATTTTGCTGATTTGTTCAGTATCAACACTATGCCACATCATCAGAAAAAAACATAATCCTTGGAGCATTATCTTTCTTCTCTTTTGCAAATTAGTCACAGATAAATGTAATTTCAGGGAGATAGGGTTGAGCTAAAAAGCTCATAGGCCCTTTTAGTGTAGGGTGGGGCTTAACTGGAGGCAAAACAATTCTCCGCAGACATCAACTACTGCTAGCTAGCAAGGTCCGTTGGCTTGATTTAGACGATGGAGGAAGATGATGTGAGTGGTGCATTCAGAAGTACTCATTCCTGGTGCCGATGTGCTCTCTAGGACAAACCGGACCGTTTGTAAATTTAGAGCGCTGTCTGAATGTACCGTTCAGTTATCAAGAGCACCACACTGTGGGCACACTGTCTGGGGAGACAGAGCCACAGAGCACCAAGCAGAGTGAATGTGTTTAACTAAACTGTTCCTAAACGCTCCGTTCCTTCAATCAACAGGGCTCTCACTTCAGTGTAGAGCGTCAAACTGCATTTACGAATGCACCATGTCAGGTCGGTCACTCTCTGGGACCGTGAGTGTTACTTGAATAAGCAAACACTGACTGACGGGAACCAGACTGGCCGACCCGTACGCTCTCACTTGGTGGATGGATGATTTGACAGGATTGCTTAAGGTGGGATGGCCGGCTTTGTGGTAGATAACTGTGCCAATCTTACAAAGGAGGACAACACTTGAATGGTTTCCTCCATTTTGTTTTGCAATCAAAGCTAAAGTTAGCTAATGTGAGAAAAAGTTAGCTTTATGGAGAAATCCAATATTCTTCTTAATACCTCCTCAGTTTCTGATGAGATGGACATGACAACCCTTATTACACGTAACGTTATTCATCCCTACAACAGGAAATACTTTTTCCCTAACCTGATATGAAGTGTGCGCTGCATATGTGAGCATTTTTGATGATGGCCTTGTTCCAGTCCTTTCGTCTTATCGCATTTAACTCCAGCTGTCTTCATTTTTGTTGATGGGCAGTGGAGGCTGGTATGTGATAAAATTTAAGTTTTGAGTCATGACTCCATCTATTCTGGCTCTCAATAACACAACAAGATGACATTTTAAGAGTCCTATGTAGCCTACAGCCCTGTGGTGGAGAGTCGTGTTTTGCCTTCAGCTAATAAAATGATGTCATTGTGACGTCAGCCCTAAAAGGGTCTATACATGCCAAAGTTCATTTGAAAGGCGAACATTGAAGTTCATTTGTTAACTTAGGTTCGGGAGCAACCACACCTCTGATAACCTGCCAAGCCTTCTTATACCTGGTCAACCCATCCTGCTCTGTTTGTCTCAGATTTTTCAACCCACCCTCCCTTTCCCTTCCCTTCATTCATCATCCTACCAACATTCCTTCATCCTCACTTCCCTTCTCCCCTCATCTCTTCTTATTCAATCTGGTGCATACCTCTCCGATGTCTCATTTTGGGTACCATCTGGGGGGCCTGTAATCAGCTCCGGTGGAAAAACGCCTTTCACAGAACCCCCACACTGAGTCTCCCTCTGCCTGATCTCCACTACATCCTCCCAGATCAACCCAACAGAAGACATCCCTATTCCACCTCCACCTCCTTTCCTCATCTGCGCTTCAGTTAGCTGACCTTTCCTCTCACCTGCTCACCTGCATCTCATTTTCTCATCAACCTTTTAGATCTTACACTGGCCCAGTTCCATTCATCTCCCACCGGACCATCAATGTTGCCATGAGCATTGAACCTTTCCAGAATTCCAACCTTATCACCACTGTCACTGAATGAATCCTTTTAGCAGTGGAGCTCCTCACTAGTCACTCATTATACACATCAGAGTCACGCCCTTATTAAAAGACAGTGAAAGCATCAGAAATAGTTCTAATGTGATAACTGTGGCCATGAGGAAGGTGATGCGTTCACTTCCTGGCATTTGAACAGTGATGTGACCATTTACTTCAGGAAAAAAAAGTGCAAAGTGTGTGTGCTTTTATGGGACAAATTGATTGTCAGATCTTATAAATGAGGATATATTTGAAAATATTTGGCTGGTCCTCATTTCTTCAAAGGGATGTTTTAGGGTTAGGACTTGGCTTGGTATGTTTTCTTGGGATGATTTTGGTTTTGGACTACACATAAAGCATTTTGATAACAGGAACTTCAGAAGTTTAAAAGTACATGTGTGTGGTGTGTGTGGTGTGTGTGGTGTGTGCCAAAGTGTTGACCGTCTGAGAAAAATTTCACATCCATTGCAGACTCGATGTGTATGAAGATACAGAGCAGCTCACAGAGAGAGCTGTTATGTGTGTGTTTCTGATGTAAACAAGTTATCATTGCCAAGTGCTGTGCCCCCAACCCTTCCACCTCCATCTCTCTCTGTCAATCTTGTTAATGCCTCACTTCCCTCTCTCCTGCTCTTTTGTATTCCAGCTGCAGTGTTTCTCCTATTTTCCCTGTCTTCTTGGAAATCTCCGTCCACTGAGCTTACTACGAAATCAGATTAGTGGGTGTCATACTGTTACACCCCTGAATGGGGGAAGACATAACTTGAGTTAAAAACAAAAGCGACTGTTTAGCTCTCAAGTCAGTATTTTTAATGACTGAGAGTCAGTCCAATAGCAAACCCCTACAGGTTCTATACCAGAAATGACATCACTAACTTAATTCTTCTGTCTGTCAAAATAAGACCACAGAATAGTAAGTAATATGAAAAACACAATAGTTTACATAACCTACAAATTAAGAGCGTGTTTCTTTACTTTATAGCAACCACTACAATACCAGAGGGGAAGCTGTGACTGCAGATTCAGTCTTTCCCACAGTTTTGTAATGAAATCCTATGAGGTAAAAACAAGATGCAGAATATTCAAGCCATTGTCTATGAAATGCATGACACAGGACAAAACTGCAGCTAAACATACACCCACCATGAAAAGTGAGTCATTTCTCAGGGCCTTTGTGTGAACCCTGTTCGTCTTGTCAGCTTGTGCCGTCCAGTTTTCATGTATTGTTTTCCCTCTTTTCGACAACATGATGGTTTCTTTAAGCATAGCTATATTACAGCAGAAACTGAAAACCCATGTGAAAAGGACACATCCAATTTTCATGTTTTGTCAACAAAATGGAAGCCACAATAGTGCTGTATTGTCATACTTTCAAGCGTTTTGGCGGTATCTCAGCAGGCTTCATTGTCCATCAAATATACTGCATTCGACTGTTGCTGCGTGAGTAGGCCAATAACACATTGCATTAAATTGGAAAATAGTCTAAATAAGTCAAATAGTCTTTAATTCTAGATCTGGGTATGAAAAGGACTGAATGCAGGTATTGTTTGACTGGAGAATGATCATACCTTATATCGTTATGGTCAATACCTTAAGAGTATTGAGTACTGATACCCAGCCCTAACTCTCGCACTTCCAAGTTCAGCCTCCACAAAACCTCCCAAATCCTATCTGTCCAGCTCATTCTCATTCTGAACTCATCAGATACCAACACACAATAGCACCTTTTGCGGGGATATGATATGCCGCCAGGTGGTGTCAGCTTGTAACGCCGCTGGCGACAATGTAATATAAAGAGCTAGAAAGTCCTTATAGGGCAGGTGGGTCCAACAAACCCCCGACTTTCACCCACGAGGCAGCTGTTCACTTCCTGTGCAGGTTTTAAGCCAAACCATGATGTGATTTTTTCTAAACCTAACCATGTGCTTTAGTTACACAAGTAAATACAAACAAACAGACAAGGTGTTTTACCGATGCTGTAAGCCTATTTTAAAAAAGACTCTATGCATCTGATGAGCAGAAACTGAACATTTCCTGTGAACACGAAAGTGTACTACAAAAAAACACAATGCTTGTAACACACAGGAAGGAAGGTACCTTGCGCATCATATTTAGACGTGAAAGTCCACTGACAAAGCGGCAGTATTTGACAAGTTGAGATGAGAATGTATTGGTTTTCAACAACAGTTTGGGTTTCAAATAAACACATTTGACTAGCTTTTCTCTTTTTTTGACCGCATCCTTATGTCTGTTCTTATGTCTAGCCATCCTGATGATGGACAAATACTCTTTTTCTGCCAAAAATAGTTCATATATGCTGTTCTTTTAAATGTGGGAAAACCAGTTAAAAATAGGTGATAGTCTTCTTTACCATTGCCAGTAGACCAGAGCTGTGTAGATGGCTCTGAAGTATACGAGTATGCCTTTTACTAGTGTGTCTCATTTGACATCATAGACGAGATGAAGAACAGGTTAGTAAACAATAGAAAGCGGCATGGAGGCCAGTGAAAATATTACAGTGGTTACTTCTTTTTTTGTATCTTTTACTATTCAGTGTCCCTTTCAAGCTTAGTGCCGACTACTCTTATTGCTTTTGTTTGATGGGGCAGGGTTGGTGTTGGGGGTGAGAAGGGAGAGTGTGGGTGGCATGCAGCGGGGGGCTGGGGGTCGGAATCGGAGTGTGTCCACC